CCCTTTTTAAAATTGCAACAGTCGTCAATTGTTTGCATTTCCATTGTTTCTTGGGAAAAGCGTTGTGCTGGTAGGAGGAGAAAAACAACAGAGTGTTCTCACTGAAGAGAAAGGGCCTTATCACAGGGAGGAACATACCACACATAGGTCACAACGGCTGTTTCGTAGCTCGCCGTGATCGTATAGTGGTTAGTACTCTGCGTTGTGGCCGCAGCAACCCCGGTTCGAATCCGGGTCACGGCAGGTTTTTCAAGGTGACATTGGTGTCGCACTCTGTGTTGCCATCCGTTATCTCCAGCCTTCTTTTAGTGCAGGCTGTGCTAATGGCACGTCCTGAATGTTTACGTTTTCTAAAGTGTGGAAAACTAGGGATATGATATAAGAGAAATAGGATCTTTGATGCCAGCATGCTGTGTAGATAAGTACTGATCAAGTCACGCTTCTAAGGGATGGAAGGAATCTTTTCAATTGTTGAGTGTCCATTCATTGCCACAACAGCAGAAAGACATTCTGCAGTTATCATTGATCTATTTAATGTCTCCTACATGACATGAAGTCCAAACTATTGTGTTGTACTGATGTCTACACCTACAAAAACCATAAACCCAACCTCAAAGTAACCTGTCGTGTTTTAGCAACATCCACACCAACCATAAGCTTAAAACCCCATCTCACGGTAAACTTTAGTGTACTGTAAAGGTCTGTGCCGACCATGTGGTGGTTTTCTCTTTTCTTCAATGCTCAGCAAAGTCAAATGGTTTTGATTTCAGAAGAGTTCTTTATTGTCGACAACAAAGGAGATTTTTCAGGAGACCCCCAGTAGCATCTCTGCCTGAAAATTCTGCCTCCCTAATCTCCTGGCCTGTTTAAATACACTTTGACAACAATTATTTTCCTTTGTTCTCCATACATTACACAAGATCCCTCCTAGTTTAACCCCTAACCCCAAATTGCACCTCTGACATCTGTTTCCTGAGACACCTCAGGCTCTTTTACCGCTCTCTTTTCATCCCTTCTTTTATGACCCCTAGTTGTTTCCTCAAGCCATTTCCCATGTCCAATTGTTTTAATGGTATGCAAGTCTACAAGCAGATTATACACATATAACCTGAATATATAGATTAACTTCACACTCCAAAGAGCACAAAATCCACCTCATATAATCCCTCCTCTTAAGACTTTAAGTCTTAATAATCTTGCTTTTGGCCCATAGTGCAACTCCATGACCTAGCCCTCAGTTATACTACCTAATGACAAATATATGTCACAGTATTATTACAAATGACCAAATCATGTAATTGCACTTTGGAATAAAATCGAGCCAAACTTCTGCGCCCACTATTGACGAGGACACAGTAAAAGACTCGATTCTATTTTGTTGTTATCATAAAAGGTATTGTTTTAAGCATACAGGTGGTTATACTTTGCTTCTGGGGGTCATGGTTATTTAACACACAGTAAAAAATAAAATTAAAATATCAAAATAAAATAAAAAATAAACATAACATAACCCAATCTCTCAATATATGGTCACAACATAATATTCTAATCTAACATCCCCACACATAATCCATAACATAATATTCTAATCTAACATCCACACACATAATCCATAGAGTATGTTGATCTTCAGCCCAGATACTTTGCGTATCGTAGAGAGCCGCCGTTTTGGGGTAGAGGTTACTAGCACTTAACACCCAAGGCATGGATCCTCATTATTCATCATCCTCCTCTTCATCTGAACTATCTGAATATTCATCACTTGTTACTGTTTTTGAGTCTAAATTTGGTTGGAATGCCCATTTTTGTGGGAGCCCCTTTTGATTAATTTCTAGCATAATTTTTTCACTTTCCTGATATTGCATTATTGACATTTGTTTTGCTGTGGCTTTGATGACTAATGATCTTAATATTGGAAATATACAACACAACAATAATCCTCCCATTCCTACTGCAACTCCTAAAAATATTCCAATTTTTGCTAACCTAGCTCCCCATGCACCAAGTTTCAGATCAAACCAGTCCCACATCTTTTCATCTTTTCCTGCATTTGTAGCCATTTCTTCTTGCAATTGTTTCAGTTTTGTCATTGCTTTTGTAAATGTTCCTTCTGGTGCAGTATTATTTGGAATATATGTGCAACATAAGCTGCCAAAAAAGACACACACACCGGACTTATCTGCTAATATCCAATTGAGTGCTAATCTATTTTGCCATGTCATCTTACTAGTTGCATCCAATTGCTCTCCTAATGAGATTAAGGCTTCATTAGTGTAATTGATGAATCGCTGCTGATTGTAGTAAATATAATTTATCCATTCTGTATTTTTATTTGGAGAAATCCAAAGAAGTATTGATTCAAGTCCTGATTTAACTTCATCTCTTGCTTTGAATTGATTTGGTATACCTCTGGGTTGTCCTATTGCATCTATATACACTTGTGGATCTGGACTATAACTTCTTTTGATCCTGTAGTTAACTGTGTTATTATTACCAAATGTAGCCTCTAAATCCCATTCTACTATTTGAACTTCTTGTACTAACCTCACTCTAGTACATTTCCCTCTCCACCCTAGAGGCAAAGACGATAAAAGCTTTCTGTTTCCACACACCCAAAAGAAATCTGCTAATGGCAAAGTTTGATCTTTATATCTATCTATGTCAGGTAATGCTATGGTCTGATTTTCACAATTTTCAGCTGGAGTTATTATTTTTCCTTTATGTGTTCCTGTCCCTCGAAAGAGTGGGAAATCACGAGAATCATCATAATTTCTAACCTTTTTTGTGTCTAAATTCCAAGTAATGCTGCATTTCCCTTTAAACTGTCCCACATTAATGGTTCCTATGGGCTTAACAAAACACTCATACTCTTTACTATAATCAATAGTATACCATAATGGGATCTCTACTGGACCATTTTGTATTTTTAATTTGTCACTAATACCGAAACTTCTACATTTAGCCCTTAATCTAGCTACATGTTTGAAGAGGAGATGATGTTTAGAATGACTCAAGTAGCCTAAGCATTCAGCCGGACAAAAAAGTCTCCAGTCATTTTCCATTTGGCAAAAGTCTCTATTGAATTGAGCACAGTGTTCATAAGTGAACGGATTAGGAACAACTACTACTTGACTCATTGGTGTCTTCGTACAGAACAGGCAGTCTTTCTTTTTTATTTCTGCTGTAGTATATGTTGCCCATTCAAACCACTGATAACTTTGCGCCATTTCCCAAAGTTCATCCAGTTTAATGTTGTCTTCCAATATACTGTCCACATTTCTCCTCTGTTTTCCACCTCCTTCAATGAGGCTTGAATTACTGTTTAACTCCAGAAATGACTGAATTGTTGTTGATATTGGAGTATCATTGAATGTTTGACTCATGTAACCCAAAGTTATGTTATCTTGTGGAGGTATAGTAGTATTATTAGAGTTATTGTACTCTGAAGACATGAAGTTATTTACAGCCTGATAAGTGTGATTAAAATCTTGAGTCTTGGGATCCGCCGTGGTGATGTTTTCCATCCCTTCAATTTGTTGCATCTTTATCATATTTAGGCATATTATGAGAGTTATGAGTTTTATGCTTCTATTCACCTCCTTCTGCCACATTTTGTACATCATTGTTGCCTTCTATGTGGTTTTCTGGCTCACTTGTTTCTAGCTGGTGCGTTTCTCCTCCGGACTTTTTTACTGGAACCGTTGTGCAGTGATTCAGATGATACCAGCAGGTACTTCCTTCCACTTGGACAGCTGTTGGAGTTGCTCTTATAACTCGATATGGTCCTTCTCTCCTAGCCTCATTCCATTTCCGCCGGAACACCTTTAGGTACACTTGGTCCCCTGGCACGACTGGACCTGGCGTTTCCACTTCCTCACGAACCCCCTTCCTGGTTTCCTGCACATAAATAGCTTTGTGTATGGCAGTTAGATTCTTCATGTATGACCGTAATTCCATTTGCAATTGTTCTAATGGGGGTCCTTTATAGGGACCCCGACAAAACGGCACAGGCATTGGACGTCCGGTTAACATTTCATGCGGTGTTAGATGTGTGTTTCTGTTAGTTTGCATGCGATAACTCATTAAAGCAAGAGGCAAAGCATCAACCCAGTTAAGATTAGTACTTGCACATATTTTATTGAGTTTGGCTTTAATGGTTCCATTCACTCTCTCAACCATTCCCTGAGATTGTGGATGGTAAATGCATCCTAATCTTTGCTTAATTCTCAATTGTTGCAGTACTTGTTTAACTGTCTTTTGTATGAATGCTGATCCATTATCTGAACTTATTTCTGATGGTATTCCAAATCGTGGAATTATTTCTCTTGTCAAAAATTTAATTACAGTTCCTGCTCCCTGATCTGCTGATGGCACTGCCTCCACCCACCTGCTAAACCTATCAATTACCACAAGCATGTATCTTTTGCCTTGCACTCGTTTTATCATATCCACATAGTCTATTACTAAGTGTTTGAATGGCCCTTCTGGTACTGGTATATGACTTATTGGTGTTGCTGTTCCCTTTCTTACATTGTGTTTTGCACAAATTTCACATGTGGACAAAAATTCACTAATCATTGCATTTAAGTAAGGAGACCAATATCCTTGCTGTTTAATTTTCCTTATCACTTTACCTTTTGAACAATGATCAAATCCATGTGCATCTGCAATGAGAATATTTAGTAATGATGTTGGTGCAACAGTTTGCCCTTCATGATTACGCCAAATATTTAGTGAATCTTTTTTAGCTCCCCTTTGATGCCACATAGATTGTTCATAGACACTTGCTTGTTGTTGAATTCGCACAATATCATCTAATTGTGGTTCAGGCTCTATTAGTACTATTGGAGTTAGAATTGCTACCCGACATCCTGATGCTTTTTTAGCTTCTGAATCAGCTACATTATTTCCCTTAATGACAAAATCATTTCCTTTTTTATGAGCTTGACATTTGATGACTGCTAGTCGTTTTGGTTGCATCATAGCAGAAATCAATTGTCCTATCTGTTCAGCATGTTGGATGGGGGACCCATCAGTTTTCTTAAAACCTCTTTGTTTCCACACTGCCCCAAACAAATGACATACACCATGTGCATATGCTGAATCAGTGTAAATGTTAGCTGTTTGTCCTTTTGCTAACTGGCATGCTGCTGTAAGAGCTTTTAATTCTGCTAACTGAGCAGAGCATGGTTGTACACACTGTTGAGATATTACTGGAACAAAATTCTCTTTTTCCTTTTTTATTACTGCAAATCCTGTATGAACTCCTAAATGGTCTCTATAACTAGATCCATCTACAAAATATGTGACTTCTGTCTCAGGGAAGGGTACAGACTCCAAATCAGGTCTTAATCTAGTAAATGCCAATGAGTTTGCTACACAGTCATGTGGCTGTCCTTCAAAATCCAATGGAATTAACTCAGCTGGGTTTACTGTCTTACATCGTTTAATGGTAATGTCTGGATATGTCAAAAGTGTACAGTATGTTAAGATGCGGGCCTGAGTAAGCACAAATTTCCCTTGTTCTAATAATTCCACCGTTTTGTGATGTGTATAAATAGTAACTGGATACCCCATGGTAATTGTAGATGCTTTCTCATAAGCATAATACACTGCTGCTAGACCCTGTTGGTGACATGGTGGGTACCCCTGTGCTGTATTGTCTAGTTTAGTGCAATAGTATGCTATAGGCTGTTTTTTCCTCCCACTACATGTCTCTTGCAATAATACAGCTGATGCATAACCATCAGCTCTATTTGCCACATATAAGAAAAATTCTTTGGAATAATCTGGGTTTCCCAGAGCAGGTGCTTTTTGAAGTTCTTTTTTCATTGACTCAAATGCTATGATTGCATCTGTGTTCCATTTTACTGGATTTTTTAAGTTTTCTACTCCTGCCTGTTTCATGATTTCTCTCAAAGGTGCTGTTTTTATGGCATAATCCTCAATCCAATCAGCACTGAAACCAGTCATTCCTAGAAATGTCATCATCTGGCCTACAGTCTTTGGCATTGGTGATTTACTTATACCTTCTAACTGATCTGGAGCTATAGCTCGTGTGCCAAAGGCAATCAATCGTCCTAAGTACTCAACCTGTGACTGACAGTACTGTGTTTTATTTTTGGATACTTTATGACCTCCTTCAGCTAACTTTGTTAGTACTTTGATGGAATCTCTATGGCATTGTTCCAGGGATGGAGAGCAAATAATTAAATCATCTACATATTGTATTAACGTACTCTCCATCATCACCTCCTCCAAATCTGCTTTAAGAATTTGATTAAATACATGTGGAGAGTGTTTAAATCCTTGTGGCATTCTGGTGTATGTATACTGTTTACCAGCATAGGTAAATGCAAACAAATATCTACTTTCCTCTGCCAACGGTACACTGAAATAGGCTGAACAAAGATCAATTACAGTAAAGTATTTGGCATCAGGAGGAATATTTGTTAGGAGAGTATGTGGGTTTGGAACTTCAGCCGTAAAATCTTCGACTATATCATTGATTGCCCTTAGATCATGAACTAGACGCCATCTGTTTTTGTCTGGTTTGATTACAGGCATAATTGGAGTATTACAGTAACTAGTTGTTTCTACTAATACTCCTGCTTTCACCAATCCTTCAATTGTGTTTCTTATGCCTGCTACAGCATCAGGTCGTAAAGGGTACTGTGCTTTTCTAGGCAATTGTGCATTTGGTTTAATCTTAACCCTCACTGGGCTGGCTGATTGAATTAGCCCAACATCTGTATCATGCAATGACCATAATTTAATTGGTACTTGACTTTCCATTTCCTTAAACAATTCAGTTTCTGAACTATCTGTTAATTCTGACATTGTATTCATTTGTGTCATTTTTTCTTCACTTAGAATTACTTCCTGAGGTATTCCCAACAATTTGGTTGCACATACAATTTTGATGTATTTTTTGTCAGAAGACTGAAAAATTAATGGATGTTCTGTAGTCTCCCACCTACTCTTTTCTGCTTGTTCCATCATCGGGCCTAAATCTTTTGTTTCCCAATTTCTTCCCACATACATGGCTATATGTGGAATTGAACCTATTACATTAAACCATTTCTCTACAAATCCTTCTCTTGGTATATGTAATGCTGCTCCCTGTTGCCCTACAATCATGTATTGTGAAACAATTTCAATTTGTTGTCCCTCAGTATTTTCTTGCCATTCCTTTTCTAAGCTCAAATCTCTTTTTGTATCATACATCATTGTACAATGAAACCCTGATTGTGGCATTTTTGAGTCAGGAATTTGTGCTTCAATGTATTTTCCCCACTTATTAATTGTCTCCCATACTTCTTTATCTATTTGCCCTATCCAATAGATATTAGCCTTTGGTTCTGCAACCATCATTTGAGTGTCAATTCCTTTTGCATCAATATATACACCCTCAGGGGAACACCAAATGTGTAAACCTAATTTACACAGTGCATCTCTTCCTAGTAAATTGACAGGAGTCTGAGTTGAAACAAGAATGGGTAAAGTAACACTTTGATTTTTAGTTTCTATGCACACTGGCGAAGTCATTGGAATTAACTGTGTTTTTCCCGAGAATCCTACAGTCTTTGCATATTTACCAGACAGGGGAAGATGAGCAGCATAATTTGCATTAATAGATGTGTACACAGCCCCTGTATCAAGAAGCATTGGTATTGTTTTACCCTCTATTTTGATTGGTAACATTGGTTCTTGACTAGAATTTGTTGTTATCATTGGAAGCTGATTTTCCCCTGCAGGATTCTCTGGGCCCCATCAATATCCCTGATTTGGACCTCTATATGAATTAACTGGGCCTTGGTTTGAATTTGGATGGGGCTGATGCCATCCCCCCCTTACACCACAAGGAGACTCCCATGGATTTGTGGGACAATGTCTCTTGTTGTGTCCTGTTAGTCCACACCCCCAACAGACACCAGGGGGCGTCAGTGCATAGGGTTTGCTTGTCCCCTTCTGCTCTCTTTGTGTTGACCTTTTCTGCCACCTTGCCTCTGGCTCTTGTGCGTAGACGTTAATGATTGGTGGGGTCATCTGGTTTCGGTGCAATAGGTAACCTGCAGATGGGCTTGGCTGAGTCATTGGTGGTGCTGCTGTAATTGGAGCCATCATAGCTTCATCCCCCTCCTCTGTCACTACAGCTGCCTGGACCTTCTTTTTGCTCTTTCTGGTCAGTTCCTCCAGCTGTAGCTGAGTTAGTTTTCTCTGCAACTCACTCTCTTGCTTTTTAAGTCGTTGTTCAGTCTTTCTGTACTGGTCAACAGCATGGGACACATAATCACAAAACTCCTTATGTGACTTAGAGTTCAGGCCAACTACATCTTCCAGTCGGCTTTTAACTGCACAAGGCAAAGAGTCAATTATGGCTTGTCTAAACAGTGTAGCCATTATTGGGTCCTTTTCAGGATCACCCTCAGTGTCCTCCCTCCATCTTTTCAAATGTCTTTGCACATATGCTATTGGGTTTTCAACTTCCCCCAGCTGGTCCCCTTTTAACATCTTTGGGTCAAGTCTGAGAGGATATTCAACACGTAAAGCCAACCATATTGCAGGTCTAAACGGATCAAAAACAGTTCCATCAGCATACTGAGTGTTTACAGCTCTTTCCAGGTCAGCAGCTTGAAAGATTTCCCCCATCTTTGTAACTCCAACAGTCTTTGCAAGTAAAGCCTTTATGTCACCAATAGCAAGCATCCTTCCCACAGTGTTTTCTTCAAAAATCTTAATCCACTTTGCTGCCCCCTCGTGAATGTTTGGGAGTTTATTAACAAGGCCCTCCAAATCCTGAGATTGCCAAGGAATATATTGACCCTGTGTCCCTTTAATTAGAATGGGAAATTGTGGAGCAAATGACCTCTGTTTTTGTCCTTTTCCACATTTTCCATCTTCAACTGAAGACTCCTCCACTTCACTATCATTTTCTTTACTATCTGAGTGCACAATTCTGTGTTTTATGGTGTCATTTGCATCTTTTAGTAATTTTTCTGTGTCTTTCTGTTTTATGTATTCAATTTCTTCACCTCCCCCTTCAGCCCCAATTTCCTTGTTTACATGTCTCAGCTTTCCTAATGCTTCAACACACTCTACTTTGTTTGCACATTCGGTGTTCATTTTTTCTAATGCCTCCCGTGCTTGTTTGTAACAATCTAGTGGTATATATGCCACACTTTCTTCCACCCCCGATTTTTTAGACTTTACTTCTTTTCCTACATCTGTTTCCTCCATCTCTATCTCTCCCTCTATTTTAAACTCCCCTGCTACACCCATTACACCTTTTAGAAGTGGAAACTGCCCTTCTGAGTGCATATAAGGTGGGGGGCTAGAGAACATCTTTTCTTTAGCTTCTGTTTCTTTTTCTGTCTCTTTCAACATTTTTCTTGCCTTTTTTATACTTTTCAGTTTATCCTGTCCTTCTTTTTTTAAACAGATTGAGAACCTCTAGTTCCTTTTCTCTTTTTGTTTCTTTTTTTTCTTTGTCATGATGCCTCTTATTTTATAATTTTTTATCATTATCTCCAATTCACCACATAACTCTACATCAAATGACCCTCCTGTTGGCCATTGTGGCACCATATTTTTTGTTCTTGTCTGCCACTTTTTTGAGTATTTATTGATCAGATCCCTACATAATGGATATTTTAATCCTAAACTTTCCACTGGAGTGTTTGCTATAGTTCTTCCTCTCTCTGTACTTACAATTTTATTTTACTTTTACCTCTATATTTTTACAAATATATTTTTCTTTATTTTAACCTGTCCTCTTATTGGTGTAAACTATCCACCCTATATTTTATTATTATTACTTTTTAATTTATTCCTTTCTTTATAATATTCTTTTATATGCACACCCAGTTTTCTTTACTTTATCCTCCACTTTTCTGTCCTCTATCCCTTTATTTACTTAGTTTTATGCTATTTATTATATTTATCTATTTTTAAATTACTCTTCCACTTTCCTCTTCTTGATTCTTTGAATAGCTATATATATTTTTCTTTTTTCTCTAATACATATGCACTCTCATTCAAACAAGCATTCTTTCATTCCACCTTTATTGCAAACACACTTCTAAGTTGCATTCATACAATATCCCGTTTATCCTAACGAGCTTATACATTCAAATCAGTTTTTACTGCATACATTCATGTACTCTGCATTCGCTCTTTATCCCTTTTTATGATAAAGGGCTTATTCTTTCATACATTCCTCTCAATGCGACACTAGGGGCGTCCGTCTCTAGACAATCTCACCTAAGAGATATCCAGAAGGGGGCGCCACCCCCTGAGTAACAATTACAAGTTAACGTTTAAACAATGTCCATCAAGGCCCACTCATTGTTAAACACAGATTGTTGCATGCAACACTTTTCTTCTGAACTCAAAACCCTATTTCCCTTTTTACTTTTTAGCTTTTTAAATTTGGAGAAACAGTTCAAGTGCCTTTACCATCACAAGCGGATTCTGGCAGAGCAACAAAACTTGTAAGCAAAAATCGCTCACCTGATTTTCGTGGCCACAGTTCTGTTGCTCTTCCAGTCCCGCAAGCGTGGTCGTCACTGCCTGCTCCTTTCCTGCGCACCCAGGGTCGCCAATAATGTGGTGGTTTTCTCTTTTCTTCAATGATCAGCAAAGTCAAATGGTTTTGATTTCAGAAGAGTTCTTTATTGTCGACAACAAAGGAGAACTTTCAGGAGACCCCCAGTAGCATCTCTGTCTGAAAAATTCTGCCTCCCTAATGTGCTGGCCTGTTTAAATACACTTTGACAACAATTGTTTTCCTTTGTTCTCCATATATTACACAAGATCCCTCCTAGTTTAACCCCTGATTCCAAATTCCACCTAGGTTAACCCCTGACCCACACCTGGTGACTATACAACTTATCCATTTCTTGTGATATGGTAATTCTTCCAATGGTATGCAAGTCTACAAGCAGATTATACACATACAATTTGAATATATAGATTAACTTCACATATTAAAGAATATAAAATCCTCCTCAAGACCTGGGTCCGATTCCCAGCCAATGCAATTTCTTTTTTGTGTTGCTACTCTTCCAGCTATGGGTAACAGCCTTGCAGCAATCACACCCCACTAATACAGCAGCATGAGCATATCAGCATTGGTGGTTTAGTGGTAGAATTCTCGCCTCCCACACAGGAGACCTGGGTCCGATTCCTGGCCAGCGCAGTTCACTTTTTGTGTTGCTAATCTTCCAGCTCTGGGTAACAGCCTTGCAGCAATCACACCCCACTAGGACAGCAGTATGAGCATATCAGCATTGGTGGTTCACTGGTAGAATTTTCGCCTGCCACTTGGGAGACCCTGGTCCGGTTCCTGGCCAATGCAAACCCTGTTTTGTGTTGCTACTGTTCCAGCTCTGGGTAACAGCCTTGCAGCAATCACACCCCACTAGGACAGTGGTATGAGCATATCAGCATTGGTGGTTCAGTGGTAGAAGTCACGCCTGCCATGCGGGAGACCCGTGTGCGTTTCCCGGCCAATGCAAATCCTGTTTTGTGTTGCTACTCTTCCAGCTCTGGGTAACAGCCTTGCAGCAGTCACACCCCACTAGGGCAGCAGTTTAAGCATATCAGCATTGGTGGTTCAGTGGTAGAATTGTCGCCTGCCACGCAGGAGACCCGGGTCCGATTCCCGGTTAATGCAAATCCTCTTTTGTATTGCTACTCTTACATCTCTGGGTAACAGCCTTGCAGCAATCACACCCCACTAGGAGAGCAGTAATAGCATATCAGCATTGGTGGTTCAGTGGTGGATTTCTCGCCTCCCACGCGGGAGACCCGGGTCTGATTCCCGGCTAATGCAATTCGGGTTTTGTGTTGCTACTCTTCCAGCACTGGGTAACAGCCTTGCAGCAATCACACCCCACTAGGACAGATTTATGATTATAACAGCATTGGTGGTTTAGTGGTAGAATTTTCGCCTGCCACGCGGGAGACCCGGGTCCGATTCCCGGCCAATGCAAATCCTCTTCTGTGTTGCTATTCTTTCAGCTCTGGGTAACAGCCCCTAGTGGGTAGCAATCACACCCCACTAGGACAGATGTTTGAGCATATCAGCATTGGTGGTTCAGTGGTAGACTTCTTGCATGCCATGCGGTAGACCTGGGTCCGATTCCCGGCCAATGCAATTTCGTTTTTGTGTTGCTACTCTTCCAGCTCTGGGTAACAGCCTTGCAGCAATCACAACCCACTAGGACAGCAGCATGAGCATATCAGCATTATTGGTTCACTGGTAGAATTCTCACCTCCCACGCGGGAGACCCGGGTCCGATTCCTGGCCAATGCAATTCTTGTTTTGTGTTGCTAATCTTCCACCTCTGGGTAACAGCCTTGCAGCAATCACACCCCACTAAGACAGCAGTATGATCATATCAGCATTGGTGGTTCACTGGTAGAATTCTCGCCTGCCACGTGGGAGACCCTGGTCCGGTTCCTGGCCAATGCAAACCCTGTTTTGTGTTGCTACTCTTCCAGCTCTGGGTAACAGCCTTGCAGCAATCACACCCCACTAGGACAGTTGTATAAGCATATCAGCATTAGTGGTTCAGTGGTAGAATTCTCGCCTGCCATGCGGGAGACCCGGGTCCGATTCCCGGCCAATGCAAATCATCTTTTGTGTTGCTACTCTTACAGCTCTGGGTAACAGCCTTGCAGCAATCACACCCCACTAGGACAGCAGTATGAGCATATCAGCATTGGTGATTTAGTGGTAGAATTCTCGCCTCCCACACAGGAGACCTGGGTCCGATTCCCGGCTAACGCAGTTCCCTTTTTGTGTTGCTTCTCTTCCAGCTCTGGGTAACAGCCTTGCAGCAATCACACCCCACTAGGAGAGCAGTATGAGCATATCAGCATTGGTGGTTCAGTGGTAGAATTCTCGTCTCCCATGCGGGAGACCTGGGTCCGATTCCCGGCCAATGCAATTCCTGTTTTGTGGTGCTACTCTTTCAGCTCTGGGTAACAGCCTTGCAGCGATCACACCCAACTAGGAAAGCAGTATGACCATATCAGCAGTGGTGGTTCACTGGTAGAATTCTTGCCTGCCACTCGGGAGACCCGGCTCCAATTCCTGGCCAATGCAAACCCTGTTTTGTGTTGCTACTCTTCCAGCTCTGGGTAACAGTCTTGCAGCAATTACACCCCACTAGGACAGTTGTATAAGCATATCAGCATTGGTGGTTCAGTGGTAGAATGCTCGCCTGCCACGCGGGAGACCCGGGTCCGATTCCCGGCCAATGCAAATCCTCTTTTGTGTTGCTACTCTTACAGCTCTGGGTAACAGCCTTGCAGCAATCACACCCCACTAGGACAGCAGTATGAGCATATCAGCATTGGTGGTTTAGTGGTAGAATTCTCACCTCCCACACAGG